CTTCAGAAAACTGACTGGTGCCATAAAGCCAGAACCAATTTTCCTAAGATAGCTTGAACAGATTCCCAGTTACAATGACAATTACGTCAGTATGAACATACACACCCATCAATTTAACCTCGTATCTCCTGTTAAATTGAATCAACCTTCTGAAAGTGCCAACACCTCAGAGAGGTCAAGATGATGCCTATCATGTCAGCAATTTAACTTCTCATTTTTGTAACAAGGAACCTCATTAATCTGATGTCATAATGATTAAAAAAATAATCACTTGTCATCACACTGTCTCCATATATCCAAAATAAAGGCAAATAAATTACTGTTCTTCTGGAAAAAGATATGAAAAATGAAAAGAGCAAATGTTAAAAGAAAAGAGGTCATCTTCAATAAGCATGAAATTAAGAAGCACCCAAAATTCCTGATAAGGTTTCAGGCACTGTAGAAAATTTCTGCATCACAGCACTGCACAGCTATTTGGGTATGCTTAAAGCCCTCCATGCTTCAAGAAAATAAAATCATTTTTGCTGTGCTCATTCTAATACAGACTTTGGCATAAACCCCCAAACTCTTGCTTCTTCTAACTATGATTTTCTGACAAAAAATTGCCTCAATAATTTTATCATCTGCCCTTGAGCCTGTTTGTTTTAAGTCTCAACAACCTGGGGCACTATTAACCAGCTTCAGCAAGTCATCCAAAGGATTTTTTTTTTTCAGTTCCTTCCAACCTTTTGGATGTCAACAGAGCAGGACAGAAGAGGAGGCAGGCAAGAACCAAAAGAGACAGTATAGCTGAATGGCTACTGTGTGAATTCAGGACTTCCCTGTTCTGTTTGGGCCGTTAACTGGCTGACGAGCACGTGCACAGCTCCAAACCAGGCACAGCCTGTGTTGTCTCTTGCCCTACCATCATCATGGCACACACACAAAGTTTGCCTTCATAAAGCAAAACTCTCAGTGGTCAAAACCATTTTATAAGCAAAGCTTTCTTTTTCCAGTAAAACAATGCAAAACTGGGTTCTAACTGGTTCCAGCCATCTCCAAGAGACAATCCTCCACTTGCAGGAGTAACCCAGACACTGGGTCAAAGGGTGCAGGTTATGTATCTGATAACAGTAGAGTGGTACATCCTGTACCTATTATGAAGATTATCATTACTTTATTCTAAACACAGCCTGTCTTTCAGAGAACAGTCAGGACTTCAAAGACTGTGCTACACAAGCCAAGAATTTGCAGAACATTTCAGATTTCAAGCTCCTAAACACCCAATTAAACACAAGCAATGTTGGACCTTCATTTGAACAAATAATTTTGCTTCCATGATGCCTTCCAGTATTTCGGACTTTGCAGAAGGAGAAATTTCAAGTTACTTACAGCACATGATACAATGTCGTACAGTTTTTTGCAAAGGGGAGGGGAAGAATTATTTTGAAATTAAATAGTTACTAAGAAAGGCCCCAAATTAACATTCTAATGAGACATTTTTAACAGAAGTTATAGAAAACACACATCTGCAGTTACACCTTAAAGCTCTTAAAATGTAACCTCTTAATATTTGTAAACTACCCTTATATTGTTTCAAAGATGCAGTAACCTTGGGCAAGACAGGAAGCCAGATAAAAAGAATTAGAAAGAGGAAAAATCCTCTCCCCGCAATGGAAAATTTTCATCTCTTCAAGCAAGGCAGAGATGCTCAGCCGGACCTGCGTTGCCTGGAGACCAACCGCAGTTTCTTGCCAACAGGGACGAGCTCAGCATCAGCAAATTCAACAGCTGATAAGTGGATGAGCTGAATGAGAGGCGGCAAGTTTTTTCCACACATCAGTGTAAAAACCTGACAGCTTTCAGATAATGGTTCTAGCCCGTGCTCACTAGAAAAACAAGAATTATTGTGATCGTTAAATGTCAGCTTAAGAAAGCTTCAAGCTCCGTCGTACTTGGCTCTTATCCCTACATGCAGTAAAGAGCACATCCAAGTTCAAATTTTTAGCTGCACCTCGATTTCTGCCCTCTCCATCTTTTGATGCAGTATCAAAACTTTTGGAATATGTTCTGCCCATTCAACGAGTTCTCAGTCTAACCACTGGTGCAGAAATATTAAGAAAACCAGTGAACTACATCAAAAAGGAAGAAGCTACAGCTTAGCTTTAAAAGCCACATCAAATCTTGTTTCACTTCAAAACCCAGCCTTTCTCACCTAAAGTGCAGCTCCCTGGGCAGGCCTGCATCAGATGTATTACAGAGGAGACACTTGTTTTGCCTATTCTGGATCTGGACCTCAGATCCCAGCCTCAGGCAGGCATGGACAAGGCTGCAGGAGCAGCACTCTTGACCTCTCAGAAAAACACCTCAGCTGCCTCCCAATCTCCAAACCATCAGATAAGAATTGTTGGAAAGAACTGATATTTAATACCAGTTACTCCAGAATTTCCCCAGATCTTATCTAATTCAACTCACTGAACATATTCAGGCAGTAAAAAATTAAGGGATTTAAAAGAATGACTTCTATTTAATTTATCCCTTCTGATAAATTCCATGAGTAAAGTAGGTCTTCCACCACCGACCTGACAGCACACACTTCCCTGCCTCCACCTATGCCTAAAACAAAAGGGCAGACATTTGTGTGTCACCACTGCTGACAGACTAAGAAGCCCTCAGTGCCTCGAGGTTTGCACCCTTCCCCTACCCTTCAAAAGAAAAAAACACCTCCAAAATAGCCTCACACTCCCCAGCTGACCGGAGAACAACTGAAGTACTACCATACCAGTGACCTGGATGGAAGCCCATCCACTGACAGGCAGCAAAGAGGTTCTTTCTTTAACATCTTTTCTCATCCTGGTTTTTCCCAACCTCATGCCTAACAAATCCAAAGTCCTCTTTGCAAGCAACTGGTAGGGAAAGAATTTTTGAGAGCACAAAGCCCAGCATTCATATGACTGACCACCATCCAGTTTTCCAGCTGCTTCCCAAATTACCACACCACATGGTTATGACAGCTCTGATCCACCTTTCCTCAAGAAGAAACAGCAACAGCTTACATTGCTTCTGTGACCAAAGTACCACAGATAAGCTAACAGACCGTTACTTCAGAAAGGTATAAATTTCAAAGACGGCAAAGGCTGAAAAACAGCTTTCCAATTAAACAAATACAAATTTATGAAAAGATACACGGACAAGTTTAAGGTTTGAAATTTTTCACAAACATAGACATGAGTGGCTGCAATCCCTCCCACAGTCCTTAACCAGGAGATGCTTCTGAGCACTTAAAATTATCGTTTTTTGAAGAAACTTTCCTGAATTCTGGCACTTAAATTATTACACTCTTCCTCATTCAGTAATATACTTTAATTTTAAAAAAACCCCAAACTATCTTGAAGATGCCAATCAGCCAAAAGTAAACAAATCAATCAGCCTCTTTTTAAAACACACACGTTTATGTGTGGACACATGTGTACATAAATCCAGTTTCCATTCCTTAATGCTATTGTTAAGTCCTGAAAAAACACAAGTTAATTTCAAATTAAGACAATTTCAAACCTAGTTTTTATCTTATATATGTTTTTATTATTCTCTAAGCAAAATTAAGAGCAAAGGTGCCAATTCTTGGCCAAAATAACCCTGATCTCATAATTCTCAAGTGTCAAATTTGAACTGTTCTACTCTCACTTCAGTGTTACACGTTGAGCAATGACCAATAATACATCATTTAAGTGAAAAGTTAAAGCAAACATTAATATTACAGAACTATATATTAAAGCAAAATTCTAATAATAATATTTGACACACAACTGTCCCTTTAGATGTTCATGAGTCTAAAAAAGCACATGGGCACTGGATGAATTTCTAAAACACCTGAGTATATGGGACAACTAAGGAACTGTATCAAAAGACAAAAAAGAAAAAATACAGCCTCGAAGAGGAGGGCGATTAAATTCCAGCACATATCAGGAAAGATATCAGTGTTAAACACGCATACTTTTCACAGTGGAATTAAGGCCAAGGACATATCAGGGTGTAACTACCAAGAAGTTGTTATTCCATCAACAACGATAACATTTATTTTCTTAAGCTGGATGCCTATTTCCAAAGCCTCAACCGTAAGTTTTTGTTTTAACGCCTGCACGTCCCAAGCCACGTTAACGAGGCATTATAAAACCGTGATGCTGGCACCAGTTCCTAACCAGGCATCACCCACCACTCCCATTTTACACGGGAAAAGGGTATCCGTGAGCAGCACGTCCCCTTATGCAACACATCCCGCAGCACCCGTTTTTCATTGTGAACTATTAGCGAGAGTACAACACAGCGGTCAGAGCCGCAGGACACCCATCACCCGGGCAGAACGGGCAGCAACGTCCTGTGATTCAGGGAACCGCCGAGCAAGGGGTGACCACCAGCCCCGGGGTGGGCAGATACCAGTGATGCGAGGCAGATACAAGGCAGATAGAAGCGATACAGGCGCGGCCGCCCCGCACCGGGCCCGGCCCAGCCCCAGCCCCGCGACCCCGGCGGGGGGCACAGGAAGCGCCGGGGACGGGGATGCTCTGCCAGCGATGCCACCGCTATCCCCCCACCGCCGACCCGCATTCGCCAGGACAGAGCCCCTCCTTTCCTCCCCACAGAGCCCGGCAATGCCCCGAGGGCGCCGCCGACCATCCCCGCCGGGCAGCCGCCCTCCCCCGCCTCCGCCGGGCCGGGCACCGACCTGCGAGCGGGCGGGGCTGCGTCCTGCACAGGCGGCCCTCAGGCCGCCCCGTCACAACTGCTCCCGGGGGAAGGGGGGGGGGGGCAGCATCAACGTGCGGGGGAGCGCGGGGAGCGGGGCGCGCCCGTTACCTGGAGCGGGGCCGGCGCCGGCGGCGGCCTCAGCGCTTTTGTTCCTCAGACGTCAAGATGGCGGCGCGGCGCGTGGCCGGCCCTCCCCGCTCCGGCGGGCCCCGCCCTCCTGCGCGCCTCCCCATTGGCTGGGCCCGCGGCGCCGCGCGCTGATTGGGTGGCCGCCAGCGCCGCTGTTGCCAGGGGAGCCGGGGCAGGGGAACGGGGCCGGGGTGCGGAGGCTGATCAGTTCCGCCCGGCCCGGCCCGGCCCTTCCACGGGAAACGCGGGGAAACGCCGGCTAGAGAGCGGGGCCGCGGAGAGAAGCGGGACCACGGGAAAAAGCGGCCCCTCCGTGTCGGCCCTTCCGCCCGTGCGGGCCCGCCGGGCACCCTCTCTTGTAACCAAGCTTGGAGCCACCACCCATCACCCACAGGCAGGAGCCAGCCCCGTACACATCCCTGACCTCTGGGTTATTACATCTCCCAACCTGTGGGTTATTACGGCTCCCTGACCTGTGGGTTACACCTCCTCAGGCCGCAGCAGCCATGGACAAAGCTCTCAGTCACTTCCCCTCAGTGCCTGCTTGGAAACCATTTCTCTGTTGGCGTGTGACACGTTCGGACGTGACCAGGGCACTTCCATCACTCGCCCCGTTGAGGAGGCAGAGGAACAACATCTGAGTGTCCCTTGAAGCTCGGAGGGCTGAGTGACTGAGGTCACTGTTCATCCTATGCTTCTGTTTCTATTCCACCAAAACTCTCACTTAGGCAAATGCAGCCCAAAGTCCTGGAAGCTCCCCCTGCTCGGCTTTACCCTGGATGACTTCTCCGAGCCAGTGTCTGATGTCTGAAATGCAATCGCAGTTATGAAGGTTTGCATACAAGGCCATGAACTGCGGGTAACAACGGAGCCACCAGCATTGTAAGAAAAAAAAAAGACGGAATAATGAGATTATCGCAGTTTAAATTACTAAGCAACAGTTTCTCTGACAATGAACTTAGTAACGCTCTGCCATCTATTTAATCACGCTAATGAGACAGAACAACTCCACTTAGATACAAATTACTCTGCATTTCATTTAAATAAGGGTCAGGGAGCTAAAAGCCACACAAGCCACCACACTTCTGCTGTACAGCACATCCAGCAAAAGACCTCCTTTGTTTCCAGAATGGACCCAGGCTTTCTGGCCATGAGCTGCCAAGGCAGGGCTGCACAAGGCATCTTGCTCAAACCTCCCACCTCCGCTCCCCAACCGCCTGTGCGTGGGCCCAGAGCCTCTCTGGCTTGGGAACAGCTCCTTGGTTTGGAGAGGTGAGCATTGGTTTACCAAACAGATTCAGAGGGCAAGAGATTTCTGATTTCTCTTTGTTCTAAAGTAAAAGCATGCACAGTCTCTTGTGTAAGAAACAATTATATCCCCCAGTTCCCACTGCTTAAAATATGCCTCTTGTTCATCAGGCTGACAGTCGAAGCCAAGCAGCACGGCTTGTTGAGAATCTTCTCATTTATCCGGCTGGTGCCATCATGATCATCTTAATATAAAAATCTGGTTTGGTATGTGTCTCTCACCATTTAAAACTGATGACTTCCCTTGGATATTTAAAAATTTTGTTTCAAATCCATGCCTCTTGGGCTGAAGCTGGTCGTGAGAGAGCAGGTCTGTAATAAACTGAAGAAAATTGACTGGCAGTTATGACTGGATTATTCACACATGCTAGTAGTCTTAATCTTTATTTGGAAGCCCAGAGCTGGCCCAGGGCTCACATCTGATATATGTTCCCTGGCCACAGGGAGAGGGGAGCTAAGGTGACATCCCATGGGGCCCTTTCCCAGTGGGTGGCTGCATGATCCCTCCAGAGGCCAGGAATATTCCCACATGCTCACAGCAGCATTAGGTTTCCTCAAGCCTCACTCCTTGCTGCACTTCTTTCCGTTCCTCTTAATTAGCGGGGGAGTAATTCCAGGCTATGCAAGTCATTCAGCATCTCCTCCCTCCTCCACGATCAGCTTCCCCAGTACAGTTCATGCCTGTAATAAGATGTCAGCCTCGAACTCAGCTTGGCAAGCCTTTCATTCCCACACTCCTCTTGCCTGCACATGGCTTCTACTCACTTCCTAAACTTCCAACCCCCCATCCCATCGGCTCTAGGATGAACCTCCAGCTAGCTGTGCTCCCAGACACACAAGGCAGGCTGATCCTCTGGCTGCATGGCTGTCCAGGTGACCCCACAGCACTTCTTGAGAGCATTTCACTCTGAGCAATGGTGTGAGGCCGGTATAAGGCGCTTTAGCTGCAGGAGCCACTGCAACAGCAACACAGCTCAACCCTCCTCAACCCTCCTCCTCACCTAGACAAAGGAGATGAAGCGTTTAAGCCGGTGAGGATCTGCTCCTGCAGGCAGTTTCTTCCACTGCCAAAACCATTCACAAAATAAACAGGCAACAAACATTCAAATTCCACAAACACCTTCCTCTCCCTTGTGTACACTGTGTGTATATATATATATATACACATATGTACAATTTTTAAGAGCTGGTGAAAAGTGCCAAACTGACAGTTTAAAAGAAAAAGCACTTCCTGTTATTTACAAAGCTGGTACAATATAGGAAGCAGCAGAGCAAACTTCTCCCTCTTGCACTGTCATCTCCACAATCCAGAGGGAACACCCTTGAGCATAAAGTAAATGCATATTCATATTTTTCATCTTCCCTGCTAAGGACCTAAGAATTGAACTTTTTACAGGGAGCAGAGAATTGTTATGAAGTTCCCTAATTCAGTATTATTCTTACCATGTGAGGGTTGCAAAATTTCATTTATATGAAAACCAAGACCCTGAATCAAAAAAATGTAACCCTCCCCAAAACTCAGCCACTTCTCACCAACCCAGTTCCAACACAATACAATGTTCTAACTGCATATTCCTCACCCACAATCTTAATCCCATGCTCTGTCTGCATGGTGTGGTCTGTGCCATTTTTACGTGCCTGTGGTAGTTCAAATTAATGCACATGGTTTTAGTTATTATTTACTTACAAAACATTTCATCAGAGGATGTGTCTGATTCAGGACTCAAAAAGCCAGGCCACTAAAGGAGGACAGCACTTAATGAAGCAGCAGGAAAATGTCATGCTTTAAAGGTGTCTTGCACGGAAATAGATTCCATGCTCTATCCTCAGTCCTCCCGAGGTCAAAAATAATAATTATGAGAATGGAGCTGGAAGAAGGAGGATAGGAACGGGGATTTTTTGAGCAGGGCAGCAGCAAAGCTCCATCAGTTTAGTCACCTGCTGGGCAGCCCTGTCCCTTGCCAGGCACTTTCTATTACTCCTGAGCAATTACATACTGATGAATGAGTCACAGAAGAAAAACACAACTGGACTTTGTTTACTGGGGTGCAAGCTCAGCTCTGCGATTTCTCAAGAGCTGCAGAGATGCAGAGCTGGCAGTTCTGCTCCACCAGCCAAGGTGTGAGGGACCGCAGGTGAAGGATCTGTGCTTTCCTGTGAAAGGCTGTGATTAATGGTAAGGGTTTTCTCCACCCCAAGTTCCTTCTACCTGATCTGCCCAGGCCCAGGAACCACAAGCAAAAACATCTGTAACTTATGGTTTAAGGTTTAATTTGTTGGCTTTGCTTCAGACAAGCGGGGAGCACACATAAACCATGGTGTGCTGACAGCGGGGCCAGTGGCAGTGCCCAGTGGGCAGGCTGCTCTCCTGCTGGGAAGGGCTGAGAGCCATGACCTGCACTCAGTGGGTTTTTGCAAGAGCCTTAGACTGGCTGTGTGTGCCTGTGTCCGGCTGCCTGGGGAAGAGGAAGGAGAGCAATCAGAAAAAACAGCAGCAACAAAGAGCTGCCTCTGAGCCAGCCGCACATGCAAACTCCCATGCCCATCCTGAGAGATCTTCAGCCTCTTCAAAAACCAAAGACTATTGCCAGATCCCCTCTTGGGGGTCCTGAATGAGTCCCTCAGCTCCAGAAAGCCTGCCTTGCCCACTCAGCCATATGGAGCCCTGGAGACAGTGTCCATGGGCTGCTAACAGAGATCCGGCTTGGGCTCCTGACAACAAAATGCCAGTTACAACTGTGTCCCCTTCACCAGTCCTGTCTGCTGAGGCTGTAGCTCTCCAGCAGGACTCTCTTACCTAGTGATCTGCTGCCATGGCAGAATTCACGTGCTATTGTAGGATAAACCAACTTGCCAAAAAACACACAAGAAGAACAATACTTAGATAGCAAGTGCCCAAAGGTTAGGAGAGGCCAGAGGGTTTTTTCCATACAATCTTTTCTAAGTTTTTCTGGTGGGCAAGGCAGAGCCTTTAAATTCACAGGCAAGACCCCAGCTCCTGATGTGCACTGGTAACACTGGAGGTACACATCTGTGGCTGCCCTGGCACAGTGGCATCACTCACACGTGGACTTCCGGCACTTCTGGAAAAGTGTGCTGGGAATCTGTCAGGCTAGTGGGGAGTGTGTTTGGGCAGCAGACTTTGCAGCCAGAGTCAAAACCCAAATCCACAGGTTTGGGTCAGCCCCTTGCTCCTGCCTCCTGTGTCAGTGCTGCTGTGCTCCATGGGCGACCATCTCAGCTGCCGCTGAAGCCAGAAAGAGCTAGCAGTTTCCATTTCCTCTTGCATTCCTAGGCTGAAGCAGCGCCATCCCCCAGTGCCTCACCTCCTGCAGCTTTGCCAGCTCATTCTGCTCGTTCTCAGCCTCCCTTGGGCACTCCTTGGTGAATAAATCCCCCTGCTTCTTTTCCTATCTCATAGGGCCAGGCAGTAGCACAAGGGCCATTCCAGCGGGCTAGAATAATTATCTCCTTTTGTGTTATTATTTGTGGAACAATTATGTTTATCATGGTGATGCTTAGGGCCAGACCTGTGTCCAGGATTGTGCTTTCTACTTCAGGCTTTGCCCAGAGACCCTTGGTCTTGGTTGGGGCACCCAGGCCTGTGACACTGCTCTCTGCCCTCTATGCAGTCACAATTTCATGGCTTTGCCTTCAGCAAAACAGTCCCAACTCCCCAGTGTGCACAGCAGCATGACTCAAAGCTGAAACTCCTCCAGTGAACATTTTGGGAACTTCCCAAGCTGAGTGATACTGGGCTTTGGCTGGTGTCCCGCAGTCACACACCTCACCACACCTACCCACCTGGCACTGCCAAAATGTCACTGGCACTGCTCGGCACAGCACAGCAGTGCAGACTATTTAGGCAGGGAAAAGCCAGTTCAGATAGGTATATCAATCAAAGTAAGTCAGCTTGCCCTTCAGCTGCTTTAAACCTGCCACCCCCGGCCTTTGAATACCATTTTTGCTTCTGTGGCCACTTTGCACAGCCTGGTTTTGCCCAAAGATAGACCCGTAATCCTGCTCCCACTGCATTTCTGTGGGATCAGGGCCAGTCCCAGCAGACCCTTTAGGAGGTGTCTGCAGGCAAGAGAAGGTCAGAAGCTTTGGCTCGGCAGCTGCAGACACCCCTCACTGAGTCCCTCGAGCAGAGAACCTGTTACAGAAAACTTCATGTCCCCACTCAACAAACTTAATGCTTGCAAGATTTTGCACCGCTAAGTCAAACAAGATAAATAAATGCTGGCAAAAATAGCAATTGAGAGGGGACTGTCTGTATTTCACACATCACAGGGCACCTTTTGTGCAGGAAGGAAAGGGCTTGTGACGCCTCACTCACCACCATCCATCTCGCTGCAGATGGGCCGACGCTGTCTGTGAGACCTGCTTCCTCACAGAAATCAAGTGTGGCTCTGGCTCATGATGGCACAGACTCACCAGCAGCTCTGTTTCCTGCCCACCAAGCCTGCAGCAACCGAATAACCACAGGCTTGGGTTGCAGATGCTCTGGCACTAATGCCCCACTGCAGGAAGTAAAGCCTCCCTCCTTTTCCCTTTCCCCTTTCAGTGTGCCCCTGTGGGCAGCCTCCCATTCCTCCCTCATTTTATCTCCTGGAGAGGAGCTTGGATATCGGTTTCCTCCTGTTCCTTCCCTTGCCTGCTCCTCCCGTTGGCTTTTCTCTGAGAAGCCACCTACCAGTCTGCCCCTTATTGTGGCCATCAGGGAGGAGATGACGCTGTAGAAGTCAGAACATACTCCCATGTACCTTTTAACTTTGCAGATGAGCATTTTCATCTCACCTTGAAGGGAAAAACTCTGCCAGGTTCTCCAAAACAAGGAGGTCCGGCTCGCCTCAGAAAAAATCCTCTTTAGTCATGGAAGAGCAAAATCCCTCTCTTTGATGGATTTGTTCCCACTGAGGAGCTGATGGTGCTCATGGCAGAGCCTGCAGTACTGCAGGGCAGGCTGGCAGTGGCTGTGAGCTCCAGGGCTATGAGCGCCCTCAGGGCCATGGCCATGCAGGGAAGCTCAGCCTCATGTGATGGGCACCATGGAGGAATGGGCTGAGCTCCGGCAGGTTCCATACTTAGTTCATGGGGGCTTTCTGAGCATATTGCTCCACTCACTAGCAGACTTGTCCCAAAAAAGCACTGTAATATGTGTCCATGGCTGTGACTTGCACCCTCCTGCCTCTTCTGCAGGCTTATCCTGGCTTACTACCCAGCTATAGTTTTCCCCACCAGCTCTCCATGGATAAAAGTGCAAACCGGAACACCCATGAGAGTCAGGAAGGATGGGGATGATCAGTGCTGTCTCCCAGCTGGGATGAACACGC